TATTCATAGATTTAAAAATTGCAACAAATATTTTTATAATCATTACATAATTGAAGTCCTATTATTAAATTATTTGGTAACATTTAATTGTTCTAACAGACTCTCCCTTTCTCGAAGGCATGCCCATGCTTTCTCGAGATCTTTCCTTGGCAATTTTCTCTGTTTTGCCACGGTCAATTTCTTATAATGTTCTATCACTTCGTTATCCGCGACGCTGATTTTCCGTTTCAACGCCTGCCGCTTGCTCTCCTCCTGGGCCAGATTGAACAGTCTCTTCAGCTGCGTAACATTATGATTGGACAATGCAGCAAGTTCTTGCTGGCATCTCTTAATTTCCGCAAGAATTTCGTCGTCCTCTTGATTCTTTTTCTGAGCATCGGGTTCCAGGATACCTTGCTCAACCAGTTCTTTGTGCATTCGTAGCTCCAAGTTCATGGAATTCTGGATAGTTAGGTCCCTTAAGACGGGCGGATCTCCGTCTCGGAATAATTTGTTCTCCATATTATTCGCGATATATACATTCTCCTCCAGAAGTGCAGAAACCAGTCTCTGAGTGAGGGGTCCCGCGATACTATTAGCTTTCTTATCACCTTTGGTTATCAAGTGCGACATATCTGTACGATTCTTCTTCTTCTCTCTGTTCGGATTGGCTGCGTCTTCCTCCTGCAATAAATCATTATGTGCCCACATCAAGCTGTAGTGACGGCCTAAAGAAGGTATCTTCTTGAATTCGCTTATGTCACTGTGCGTAGCGATCAGCTCCTCCAACAATTTAATATCATCGGGCATGATGTCGGTGCAATAGGGATCCACTGATGCCCAAAACTTGTTGGGCGTATCATTTTTCGGTAAAAGCAGCTTTGGCACATCAGACTTGGATCCCTCGATCCTTGAAATCTCATGCAAGTTCGGCACTGCCTGGCTGGTCGAACTTCCTACCGTTTTCTGCTTAAAGAGCTTTGTATGTAACGGCGACTGACTTTTGGCGCTGGCCTCCTTCGGCTTGAATTTCTCCTCTCGTATCTTCTTGTCGAGCAGAGACAAACTTTTGCCGCTCTTTGACCTTCTGTCTCTGCGCTCCTCGGCCGAAAATAAACTGGCGATCTCGTCTTGAAGCGTGCGATGACGTACGACAACTGCCGACAGCAGCGTCTCAAGTTCCAGCTGTAGCGTATCGAGGTCGTCCATACCGACGCCTTCCTCCGCCGTGCGCTTCAAGATACTAGTGTATCTTGGCAGGTTCTGACCATTGTCAACTGTCTTCAGAAGAAATTGAGAGGTCGTTGGCTCCGGTACCTCCGAGTTCGCGTCTGAATTCGCTGTTGAAGGTTGCGCGGTTTTCCCAGATTCGCGTATCTTGACGACAGCTTTCTTCGAACTTTGCTTCCCTTTTCCAGACATTTTTTTTTGGATCGCGACACTCAACGGCAGGAAACAATAATTGCTTTAAGCAAGAGCTACTGCTTTCGTAATTGACTTGGAGTACCCTCAATTACGAATAATCTCACGTTACATCTGCAATTGTTCAACGTAATTATTCAACATTCGTGACATCAGCTTCAACAAATATATACAAACAAATATACAAACTATCAAATTATCAATCTATTTACTTCATCTTGCATCGTAGGCACAAAATATTGATATCATATACTGTTAAATGTGAATAGTACAAGGTTTATGCAGATCTTTCCCTCGTCGTTTAGGTTATAACCACAAAATTTTATACAAGCTTGTAGACTAGCTGCTCCTCTTTTTCTTATGCAGGATTCACACTGGCTCCGATATCCCCAATATCCAATGTGATTGGCTTAAGGTG